CAGTCAGCCATCAGGTGAAAAGGGGGAACCCAGACCCAGACCAGTGGTCATTCCGTATGTTGAGGGAGTATCAGAGAAACTGAGACGTTTATTTTCTAAACACAACGTCCCAGTGGCTTTTAAACCCCAAAATACATTAAAGACTGGTTCATCCCAAAGATCCAGTTCCCCGGCACAAACAGAGTAATATTGTGTATGTTGTTCAGTGTCGGGAGGGCTGTGATCAGTCTTACATTGGGAAAACTAAACAGCCACTGGCCAAAATGATGGACCAACACAGAAGATCAACATCATCAGGCTAGGACTCTGCGGTCTACACTCATCTCCAGGCCAGCGATCACTCTTTCAGGGATGAAGATGTTCACATCCTGGACAGAGAGGAACGATGGTTTGAGAGAGGAGTAAAGGAGGCCATCTTTGTAAAAGAAATTGTCCATCATTAAACAGGGATGGAGGCCTCCGTGTTTAACTGTCCCCCTCTTACAATGCTGTTATTGCTAGTATCACTCAGCCTCCTGTGAATAGTAAACAGCCATCAGGGTGCTAATGATCTATCGTTAGGCTGATAAGTCCTTCTTGATCATGTGAGCAGCTGGTTTTGGTTGTCAGCAGCAAACTGGTTGATTCACTCTGAGAAGGTGCTATTTATAAGACTGAGCTGAATACAGCACCTCAGACTGAAGAAGTCTTTCTGATGAAAGATGAAACGTTTCTACAATTTTTATTTTTTTTGAATGTCCAGAGGACCAGATTTAACTTTTTTAGATATTTCTACCTGGATTATTGAGCGTGCATCAGGATGTGTTTTAATTCTTTCTGTGTTTTTTTTTCTCCAAGAACTGATTTCACCGAGGGGGTATCAATAGATGTGATCTTGAACTAAATGTGAAATCAGTGTCAAGCCCTAAAAAGGTTACAGCCTTACCTCCTCTATGAAGAAAGAAGCTTCAGGCCTCTGTATGTGTATGTGTGTGTGCTTATGTAAGTAGGGCTGATCAAATCCAGATGAAATGAACAGAGTGACCATTAAGTTAAACTGTAATAACCCTCCTTGAGCAAGAACAGGGCGGTGAAAGAACAGAGTGTTCCATAGAAGGACAACACCCTTATTACGCAATGTCTCTTAGAACGGACTGTTCCAAGAAGTTAGTTTGTATGACATCTTAAAGGACCAATCAGAGGCTTACAGCAGATGGTTACACCCAAAGAAGCAACACTAGGCTAGAACAAGTTCAGATTTGTCTGAGCTAGTTTGGACTTGTCTGGGCTGAACTATGTCAGATATTTATCTGGTTCTGTGGCTTTGATCTGCTTAGAGACGGGATTATAATGAAATTATGACCTGGTTCTGACTGGGTTAAACTGGGCCAGCAACTCTAAAAAGAGTCTCCCTGGGATTGAATATCTGTCAAAGAATAGAGTTTATTTCTGCTTGCTACATTACGTAGAAAGGCTTTTGAAGCACCGTCTCATATTTCCCAACACAATAAACCATATAAGATTGATTGAGATCACACTTAGTCACACCCCCTCATACACTGACAGGTTGAGCTCCCTTTCTGCGAAGGAGGAGTCTAGGACCTATAAATGAGTAATGACACGGGACATTGGGGCTCTTCCGGTTTTATGATCGCGTCATAGAATGGAGAGGCCAGCGCTGTAAACTGTAACCTTTTCCTGCCTTGATTTAATATAGTTGATTAAATTTTATTGACGTTTCCTTGATTTATTGTTGGTATGAGTTGCCACTTCTGAGGGAGATTTGAGCCGGGGGAAGTGACGTGGGCTGGAGGCGGGTTTCCAGGTCTGGTGGCCCGCAGCCAGCTCCCGTTCTAAAAACTATAAATACAGCTCTCAGTCACAGTTCTGGGAGTTGGAGGGACATTGGACGGTTTTGGATCTGCTCTTAGCTGCTGAAGAAGTTTTGAACAACTCTAAAAAGACTAATTTTTAGTCAAGATAGGAGCATTCTTTTTGTTTCAGCCCAGATTAAAGCCAAACCAGAATCTTCTTCAAATCAGGACAGCTTTTTGGGCGTGGGGCGCACTTTCCCAGGGCTCTGAGAAGGGGATTTCATTTGCCTTTAACCAAAGATTTCTTCAGACAAAGGAGAACTATGGTAAGAGACGCCCTGATTTACCATCCTTTTACAAATTTTATACAAAATAATAGCGACAGTTTTACCAACTATTAAGGGAATCAGATTAATATTATCAACATTCTGGGTCCTCTGTTCATGAATGCCAACCAATGAAATAGGTTCTACAAAGACAAATAACAGTTTGGAGGGATTTCTTGTAAGTTGACTATAGAGTTTTAGAGTTCTTTGGGGTTCTAACCCACGCTGGGACTCCGGGCATGGCACATCTAAATAATGGGAAGGCTTTCCTACATCGATCCATAAGAGCTTTAAAGATTCCTAACTCCCTATCTCAGCTCATCGGAGCAAGGAAATCACCGCTTTAGTGGACTTCCAATCCTTTGGACATCAAAATCAATTAACAAGATCCTCCCTCAAGCAATATATGGACTCTTTATTACTGATTTCACTATATAACTAAATGTAATCATTTTTGGATTATGCATTAATGTTGTTCCCTTGCAAATCATTAATTAAAGCAAAGCATAAAATGTAAAAATCTAGACTATCATTTCACCACTTCGTGTTCATGGATTTAAGAAGCTTGGTTCAGTTCTAACACATGTAGGGAGTTTTTTTTAATGGTTAATCAGCTGTGAGTATTAAGACAACATCCTGAAATCCTATTCCTGGATTCTAGAAAGAACCAGATCAGTTAGAATTGCCATTCTACAACGAAGGTGAACGACTGTTAATATGAGTTTCCCTGTGGATGACAATCCAACTCCAGCTGCTAGGTTGGGCAAGTCACAGGGTGAGATAAGGGTGTGGCTCACAGATGAACACAGGCTCACAGATGAAGGCTGTTAACAAATCTGGGCGAGTCAACTTCAACACAGCCTTAAGTAGAACTAAACTAAGATTACTCTGGATAATACTCAAGTGTTTAGACTTAGTTTGTTATAACCCTCAGAGCACAGATGTCAAACTCCAGGCCTCGAGTGCCGAAGTCCTGCAACTTTTAGATGTGTCTCTGATGCCACACAGCTGAATCAAATAAGGAGGTCACTAGCTGGACTTTGGAGAACTTGACTATACTGAGAAGCTAATTCAGTCATATGATTCAGGTGTCTTGGACCAGTGGAACATCTAAAAGTTGCAGGACTCTGGCCCTCCAGGCCCGGAGTTTGACATCCCTGCCTTAGAGGATAGGCTGCAGTGGGGTTTAGCCATAACTCAGGTGGTAACTCCACTGGGTAGACTGAGAGGTGCAACAAGTTAAAAGATGGTCCATATTTTGAATTTAGTGTCCGCATTCACAGGCTGCATTCTCAGCAAGACCCCAATTTACCAAGTTGGTTTTGGTTTTTCTGACACTGGTTCTTGCCCAAGTCAGAACACATAATTTTTTTTTCTCTCTGCAGACTTTTAGCCAATCCTTTTAGCCAATCAGGGTTTCAGGATGGTTGGGTACTCTATGGTTGTTTGTTCCAAACCTTTCTATTGATTTATTCAGCCTTTCGTGGGTGTTATGTTTATTGGTAGACTTGTGGATGTAAAAAAAAAAAAAAAAAACCTTTTCCTGGATTTTGAATGTCCAGTGCTGGAGTTCCTTGAATTATTTTCCTTTTTCTTTTTTTTTTCAATTTTATTGATTGTCTCTTTTCATATTGCAGGTGGAGCAACACCAGAGAGCCTGTATAGGTTACTTGTTGAAGTAGGGTGAAGGGTCCCTGTTACGATGTGGCAGGCTTCATTGGGCTTGGGATTTGTCTTTTTAGCACGATGCGATCTGCACCAAATGGAAACACAATGTGCAGCTGTGGAGTAGCACAACAACAAAGCAGTTTTTCCCCAAGGTCTTAGGATCTTCATCCCAGATTTAGTGTTAACTAGTTTGGATAGGAGAGATCATCAAGAAGTTAGTGTTCTTCCAAGTACTTCTATATGTGTGTGGTAAGTAAGTGTGCGGTCTAAGGTAATGCCTTGACAAATGGCAGTTTCCCCTATTATACAATGAGGGCACCCTGCCCTTTCAACAGACCCGAGCGCCTACCAAACTGTCCCCTGCCCCACCCCCACATCAACAACTGCCAGCCACTGACATAGCGCTAAGCTAGTGGCATGCAATACAGACATGCTAGCTAAACGCTACAGAGGAAGCTTTGGCTCTGTTCCCTTGTTCAACAAAAATCACAGAAGAGATGAGTGCCCTGCCAAGGCAAGTAACTTGGGGAAACACTGAGTGGGGTAGTCTTCATGTTCAAGGCCTCTCCCATTCCATACTATATTTAATTTGCAGCAATTTACTGTATTGTATTTGAGATGGAATGCAAATACTTTTTATTTCTCAGGATTGGTATTAAGAGAGCACTGTTGGTAATACTGCCTATTTTTCCTAATGCCACTGTGAGCCTTTGCTCAATGCCATCAAATGACCTAGTTTGAGTAGCAAGGCGTAAGCCATCTGCATACAGAAATCTTCTCATTTTATCCAAAGCATGCTGTTAATTTAATCAGTTTTATATATTCTTCCAAAGGTTGTTTCTAAAAGTTGCATTAAGATTTGTTCAGTGATGTATGAGTTATGTTGCTAACAGACACAGGAGTACACACACACACACACACACACGCACGCACGCACACACACACGCACGCACGCACGCACGCACGCACACACACACACACACACACACACACACACACACACACACACACACACGTGTTTTGGCGGCAGATGATAAGTATGTGTATGTGACTAATTTAGTGATAAATGTCAAAAGTGTGCATAAAAAGCATGTTTCAGTATTGCTTCCCCAAAAGACAGAGATTCATCATGTCTTTCCAAAAATAAAAAATATTGTATTGAGTCATTTGGTAAATCATGAAATTTAATTCCTTCAACACTGTTTACTCTAACCTTTTTATGAAAACATTGCTGATACATCCGGTGAGATTGGTGACACTTGCTTGAGGCAATCCTCCCAGGAAAGTGCCTTCCTCAGGACCATCATCTTCAGCTGCACTGCTGATCAGTTGCCCACCACTGTTAACCTTCTCTAGTATATCATCCATGTAGAGATGCATCCTGCGGGAAAAGCAGACGCACAGTCAGCAAAGCATCTGGACATATTGAAGTCCTCTGAACTCAAGATACAATGAAATAGCAAACCACAGGGCAGTCTATGGTAATGAGATATTTTCTGTTGATATCTTGGTAGGTACTCTGTGGGCATCCTTAGCTTTTACCACCATGGCAACAAGCCATACATATCAGAGTAAAAATATTAACTAAGTCAAGTATTGGCATTAGATGTAATTTTTCATTCATCCAACCTTTATTTATACAGGTTAGTCTCAGTGAGCCACGAGGACTCATTTACAAGAGAGACCTGTTTTAACAAAGAACACGTATGAGGTAGAGACAACAATAGACAATCATGTAAAAAGTATACAAAATGAAAAAGTAAATAGAACAAATTATACAGTATAAAAAAAAATAAAAAAAAGCAGTTACTTTATAAAGCGATGTAAAATGCTAAAAACAGGAACATGTCTGCATTGGTTTTTGCTATGAACTCAGCAGATGTTTGAAGCACTGAATGTTCCCTTGGCGCATGCACTGTTTGAGTAATAATACCAACAGAGTCACAGGTGTGACACGGATGACCAATCCGAGGCTATATAGCCCGACGTCATCCGCAGCTCTGCTCCTCCTTTTTTCTTCTCGCGCACGGTTCAATTCAGGGCTTCAGCCCTTTGGACCTTTTCTGAACTTTTTACCGTCGAGTAACGTGTTCGCCCTCTTAGGGCTGCAACGGTTTAACTCTGTTCAAAGGTATTTCTGCTGATTTGTTGGGGACCACGGCGGTTTCTGCCTCTCTCAACTTACAGCGTCTGACTACTATGTGTGTGATTCACCACCGGTGAGTAGTGTTTTTCCTTATAATTCGCCGTGGGTTAGCGGTAGCATTCGCTCCGCTCCCGCTTGTTGGGAGACCTCCAACCACGTAGTTGGCTGGACTGTGCTCCGACGTTGTTTATGACTACAATGTGTGTGATTTAACACTGGTGAGTAGTGTTTTTTTGCTTATATTTTGCTATTGGTTAGCGGTAGCGTTCGCTCTATTCCTGTTTACTGGAGGCCTCCAACCACGTGGTCGGTTGGACTGTGCTCCGAAGTTTGCTTATTACGTAGCCAGCTGAGTTCCTGGCCTTGTTTTAATTGGTGAAGGCGAGCGTTCTCACCCCCTCTCCCAATTGTCCTCTTACCAGCTGAACTAGCGGTGCTAGCCTCTCTGAGTTGTAACCTTGTTTTAATTGGTGAAAGCGAGTGTTCTCATCCCCTCTCCCAATTGTCCTCTCTTACCAGCTGAGCTAGCGGTGCTAGCCTCTCTGAGTTTTAACCTTGTTTTAATTGGTGAAGGCGAGCGTTCTCACCCCCTCTCCCAATTGTCCTCTCTTACCAGCTGAGCTAGCGGTCCTAGCCTCTCTGAGTTTTGGCCTTGTTTTGATTGGTGAAGGCAAGCGTTGGCGCTCCCTCTCCCAATTGTCCTCTTTACCAGCTGAGCTAGCGGTGCTAGCCTCTCTGAGTTTTGGCCTTGTTTTCATTGGTGAAGGCGAGCGTTCGTGCCCCCTCTCCCAATTGTCCTCTTTACCAGCTGAGCTAGCAGTGCTAGCCTCTCTGAGTATCTTGGACATAGCTGGGTAAGGAGCATGGATGACTCTCACTGCTGTACAGTCTGTGGAGACATGCTCCAGACAGATGATGGTCACGACCTGTGTCCTGCCTGCCTTGGACATGACCATCTGGTGGAGGCCCTGTCAGAGAACCCCTGCATGAATTGCAGCTTCATGTCGCGTGCTGTGAGGGTAGCCCGGCTGGCCCAGTTTCAACCCAAGCTTGGCGATGACCTCCCGCCTTCTGGGCAGGAGGCTCCACCTAGGCGCTCGAAGCGCCGGACTGAGGCCGCAGTCTCTGTGGCCCCTCCTGGGAAGAAGCGAGCCAGGTCTGATAGGGGCCTCTCCACAAGGGTGAAGCAGCTCTCCGCTGAATTAGCGGAGATGAAGTCCCTTTTTCAGGTACGCCAACTGGGAACTGAACCAGTGGCAGCAACCGGACTCTCCTTCCCACCCATGCCTGAACTGGCTGCGGAGGAAGATGTGCTATCCTTGGCTGCCTCTGCCTCTCACTTTTTAGGTGAAGAGGACGGGCATTCATCTCAAGTCTCAGAGACAGCTTCACTTTCTTTTTCTTGGAGCGCAGTTAGTGGGTCGGGTGACGGCTCGATGCAGGACGTCATGCGTATGGCCCTGAGACAACTGCAGCTGGACGTCCCTTAACCAGAGGCGTCCACCCCTGGAAGTGCCTTCTTCAGGCGCGGACTGACCCCTCCTTCCTTTTCTGTCCCTCCATCAGAGGAGTTCCTAAGGGAGCTGCATGGTTGCTGGCGGGACCCCAAAGCCTTTGCGTGCCTCTCTGCAGATGGCCGAGTGCTGGCAGCCATGCATGAGCCGGCTGCAGCAGGCTTGGATCGCATGCCAGCGATAGAACCTGCTGTTGCCTCTTGTCGTGTCACCAGAGGAAGCTCTGCACAGTCATGTTCGGTGACCACGAGCTCAGTGTTGTGTCACAGATGAATTCCTCTGCAGAGCCTATGCCACCGGAGCGCGTGCTGGTCGCTTAGGCAATTCCTTGGCACACCTCATGCTTGCCCTCTACGCGTCCCTTCAGGGGACTAGTGGTGCGACAGCAGCAATGGGCTTTAGCGATGCAGCGCTTCAGGCCTTTGCATTAATGACGAGGGAGCTTGGGCGTGTGATGGCGCGCTTGGTCCAGGCTCGCCGACAGGTCTGGTTGGCGCAGTCAGCATTGACTTAGCCATGCCGTAGAACCCTCCGTAATGTCCCAGTGGTGCCGGGGGAGTTGTTCGGTTTGGCTGCCTTGGAAGCACTGGAATGAACTGTCCAGGCACGACAGAGAAGGCAGCAATTTTCAAGCCTTAGCAGGGCAATGCCCCCTCCACCTCCTCGGCATCCAAGGCACCCATCGGCTGACTCCAGCATGGCCGCCGCCTGGGGGTCATAACCGGCCGGGTGGTCCTTATCCTCATGCGGTTCAGCAAAGGCCCAGCAGGAGTTTTCGTGGGTCAGTCCACCAACCAGCTGGGCAGGCTCGGACCAGGGACTCTGGCTGCCACCCCCCCTCCCCACACACACACCCCCACAGCCCCCAGGGGCCGTGGAGGGAGACGGTGATGCCATCAGGCCGACCGTCGGATATTTCTCCCACCAGCAGCTCAGCTACTGGGCTGCTCATGCCGTGGACACATGGGTGGTTGCCACTCTGACCCATGGTTACCGGCTACAGTTTCGACGGCAGCCTCATATCTCATGCCGGGTCAAGATGACTGTAATCGCCAACCTGGTGAAAGCTCGAGCACTAGACCAGGAACTTTCTGCCCTCCTGGCCAAGGGCGCAATAGAGGCAGTGGACCCTCTGCAACAACCCAGGGGCTATTACTCGACTTACTTCCTCGTGCAAAAGAGGACGGGCGGGTTTCGTCCCATTTTAGACCTGAGGGGACTCAACCAGTACCTAAGGGAGCTGCCCTTCCCCATGCTCACGACAGCAGAAGTCCTTCAAGCTGTCATGAGGGAAGAATGGTTCACGTCTGTAGACCTGAAGGATGCGTATTTTCATGTGCCTATTGCGGCAGAACATCGCCGCTTTCTCAGGTTTGCCTATCGGGGTCATCACTGGCAGTTCCGGGTACTCCCATTCGGGCTCTCTCTCTTCCCGAGGGTGTTCACTCGGTGCGTGAAGGCAGCCCTCTCTCCTCTGCAGGCCTGTGGAGTGAAGATTCTGCCGTACTTAGACGATTGGCTTCTCTGCGCCCCGTCTCAGGCCTGTGCCTTTCACGATACAAACCGCCTGCTCGCTCATATGTCCCAGTTGGGCCTCAATGTCAACCTGGAGAAGAGCTGCCTGATCCCTTCCCAGATGACCACCTTTCTTGGGGTGGTTCTGGATGCATCTTCCACGAGAGCTTGTCCATCCGCTCAAAGGGTGGCCGGCATACTCCAGCTGGTCAGTCGGTTCAGGCTGGGCAGGCAGCTCCCCTATGTTGCCTTCCTGCAACTACTTGGCAAGCTGACATCAGTCACTCGGGTGGTGCCCTTAGGCCTGCTGTCACTTCGCCCCTTGCAGAGGTGGATCAACAGCTTTCGCCTGGATGCCAGTCTGCACAGGCATCGCAAGCTCGCAGTGACGTGGTCATGTTTTCATGCCTTGACTCCATGGAGGGACGAAGATTATTTGTCCAGGGGTGTCCCCATGAGAGTGGTAGTGTGTCGCAGGGAAGTGGTCACAACAGATGCCAGCTCCATGGGATGGGGGGCTGTGTGGCAACGCAGAGCCGTTCAGGGCTGCTGGGGTCAAAGGGACCACTCCAAGCATATAAATGTGCTGGAGCTGCGTGCAGTGCACTTGGCACTCAGGCACTTCCTGCCTCACCTGGAAGGGAGGCATGTTCTTGTTCGGTCAGACAACACCTCTGTTGTCTACCACATCAACCATCAGGGGGGCACCAGGTCAGCACAACTTCTGAAAGTGTCCAGAGAGCTCCTGGAATGGGCCTTTCCTCGCCTGTCCACCCTGCGGGCAGCGTACTTACCACGGCGACACAATCAGGTCGCAGATTTTCTCTCCCACCAAGGGTCCCCTCCGAGAGTGGTCCCTCCACGGCGACATAGTGCTGATGATCTGGGACCGTTTTGGTCAGGCAGAGATAGACCTGTTTGCGATGGAAGAGTCGACTCTGTGTCCCCTATGGTACTCTCTTACGGGGGCGTCGGGTGCGCTGGGCCAGGACGCATTGGCTCATCCTTGGCCAAGGGTCTTTCTATATGCCTTTCCACCCCTTTCTCTAATTTGGCCAACCCTTCAGAGAGTCCTCGAGGAGGGCCACAGGATGTTGCTGGTGGCTCCATATTGGCCAGCGCGACCATGGTTCCCACTGCTCGAAGTCTATGTCAGGGCGTCCCATAGTGTCTTCCGACCAGGAGGGACTTGCTGTCTCAGTTGGGGGGACTGATATGGCACCCCAATCCTCAATGTCTTCGGCTGTGGGTGTGGCCACTGCAAGGCTAGGACAGCAGCTGACTGGAATTTTGAGCTATGTCAGACGCACCATCCTGGGCGCCAGGGCACCCTCTACTCGTCAGCAGTACGAAAACAGGTGGCGTCTGTTTTCCCAATGGTGTTCTGATCACAATAAGGATCCAGTCTCCTGTACAGTACCCACCATTCTGGAGTTTCTCCAGTCTCTACTTGGTAAGGGTCGCTCTCCTTTGACGCTGTCGACGAAGTTAGAATTTTGAAAAAATTGTAGTTTTATGGCACACGTGATCTATTTTTCATACAAAAGTAAAGAACTGAAACATCCTTTAGGAGTTGTGAGTCAATTTTTTTCCAGACTGATGACTTCCATATGTAAACAGTACATAATAAAACACAGCACCGAGAAAGATGACAATACAAATCTTGCCTAGGGCCATCCGTGGCCAATCCTGTTTTTATTGTTCAGTGTTGCAGTCTTGTGATATCTTAACAAACAGCTCTCCTACCTGATGTTACTGTTGTATACAGCCACATTGTGACTGTTGTTGTCATTGTACGTCTTTTGAGTCTTAATTTGATTGTTGCCAGATTTCACCACAACATGGCCCTCATTCAGAAACACCTTAAAGTTGCCTCCCTGCAAGACAAACCAAGGGGAGGACATCACCAGCTAGAACTCAGGGAAGGAACAAGACAGAAACTAAGAGCACAGCGATTCTTCGGACCTGATCCTTATGGTAGAACATGAGTCCTTCGGTTTGGTCGGTTCTAAAGCTGAAGCTGGCATAGAAGTTGCTCATCAGACTGGAGACATTGGTCACACCAAGATCCAGGTAACTCTGACCACTGAAATAAGCCTCACGAGCCACCTGCACAAACACACAAATTTAAACAGTTGTAGATGTGACTATTATTTCCTTAAATTCAAGAAAAGTTCAAGACAAAACCAACTGGACTTTATTTGTAACAGAAGACGTTTTGCTCCTCATCTGAGGAGCTTTTCCAATTCAAAGAACAGGGAGTGTGGGGTTCGAGTTAAAAAGCAGAGGTAAGATACATACGTACAGGTACATATGCAGATTGACCTATCACACCTCAAGACAGGGGTTCTTCAAGGTCTTTGTTAGTGTGATTCACAGCTGGGCCACTCTGGTCACATGGATGGAATTCCTGCTAGGTGTGAAACTGGCTGGGTATCAGTCCTAAAATTGCATTAAGTTTTTGAAAGTTGAAATCTGAGACCTCCTCTTCTGTTTAAAGATGGTTTCTCTTGTTTTACATAAATAGCTTCCTTCACCCCGTCTCAAACCATCTGTCTTCTCAATTTTGTTTTTAATTTACCATGTCCTGGATGACTGAGAATCTTCACCAGTGTTCAGGTTTCTCTAAAATCTGTTTGAGCTGAGAGCTGTCTGAGATATTTTGCTACTTGCATACAAACAAGGTTGATTCTTTAAAGTTTTAAACACAGATCTTGTGCCATTAGTTAACACTCAGAGTACAAGTCAGGGATGATTTTCAGGTACCACCACACCAAATTTTAACTTAATATCTGTAAAGTGGACTGAATTTTCGACATTTTAGCGTTTGGTAGGGTTGATTAGTTGTGCTGATCTTCAACACTGATTTTAACAGTTAGTCAGTTGTAAAAGTGCAACCTATGATTACTTTATGATAGTTTCTTAACTGTTTTATGTGTTACCTAAGAGAAAAATAAATAAATTGAGACAGGAAGACCCAGCTTGTTGATTTTTCTCAACGTATTACCAACAAATGGACAAGTTTAACAGTGAAGACTAAGGCCACCTTATCACAAAAGCTGATATCAAACTGTGAACAGATGTGCATACGTGACATTTCTGTTACACCTTCTGAGGCTGTCATAGAAAAACTGATTCACAGATGATCAGGTGTAGACTTCATCAAATTTATTACAAAGCTGTGGAGAACAGCCAGACCAGAGAGTCAATGCATCACAAGTACAGAGCTTCTTAATATATTGTCCTGTCTGAGTTTCTGACCCGCTCACATTTCCTGAAATAAAAAGGTTTTTTTTAATAGAACCCCCCACCCCCACCCCAGCAAACACACTCCGTGCCTTTGCTTAGTGTTTATCAGAACCAAACCCAGGCGGTAACAGTGTCACAGAACACAGAGAGGATTTTGTGTTCTACTGTACCCTGTACATTTAAAAAACATGTTTCTTTTAGAGAGCTGCTCAAGAATTCAAACATTTCTAGTCACAAGACTGAAGAAGATACATGCATTACACATGTACGATAGTCATGTGATGCACTGTGTGCAGGTTTTTCCAGAATGGTTATTGATCGCTAAAATATCAGTAGTGGATTTTAAAAAACTTTATTGAACACAAATGACAATGCATTGAACAAGGAAACACACACAAACAACTAAGTAATGTACTGTAATTGTTGGTATACAAACCACTACTTTTTTCTTACACTTTGTACCCCTTGGTCTATATGCAGGACTGGTTGTTTTGTTTTTTTTCTTCTTCAGAATTTTAATCATTTATATTTTATATATTGTATTTTGCCAGACTTCCTGTTGTCTCTCGGCAGCTTCCTGCTGCTGACTAACATTTTCCTTTGACAGATGAAGCTGCCCTGCACCCGCCCCTCTTGGGGGTAGGCTTTTGTTAAACACTAGCTATGTTTACATGTGCAAAATTCTTCGACTGGACTGAAATGTTTTCAGATTAAATAATTCAAATGTATAGTTTACGAGGACACAATCTGTTCGTGACGAGCGTTTACCAGCAGTGGGCTTTGTTCTGAACAGAAGTACTGACATGTGCAGAGTGGTAAACTCTACTTAAAAAAACACAGAAGAAGAAGAGGTTCTACTTCCGGTTTACTTACGGGATGAACGTAAACAAACCCGAGCCCCCAAAATGGACCCGCGACAGGTTTTAATGACGGTGGAGACGTTGCTGCACTCCCTGACTGAGCTGCAGGTGATACAGATCATTTTGAGCTCTTTCAAAGTTTCTAGTAGAAATGTTGTGTCGCTCACCGACCAGTTTGACTTCCCCGATATGCTAATATTATTAGCATTAGCCAGGTGGAAATGATAAAGTCACACATACCATACCATACCATTTTATTTATAGAGCACTTTAAACAGCTACAAGGCCAACCAAAGTGCTGTACAGACAGAACAACAGGTAACACGCGAAGCAAAATACAAAATGAGGTAAATCAGAAAATAGACAAAAAACGATGCAGATAATGACGACAAACCAGTGTGGAGCATACAGGATCAAAACACAGATCATCTGGTGTTGAAAGCTACCGAATAGTAGTGAGTTTTTACACGGGACTTGAAAACCGAGAGGGAGGGGCCTGTCTGACAAGCAGAGGTAACTCGTTCCAAAGTCTTGGTCCTGCTACAGAGAAGGTCCTGTCACCTCTGCACTTAAGACGAGTTCCTGGAACTGTGAGGAGCAACTGGTCCGCTGACCTTAGGGGGTGTGATGGGACATAAGGCTGTAGCAGATCAGAGAGATATGGTGGGGGGGAGGGGGGGGGGAGACACTGTTCAGTGATTTGTAGACATACAAGAGTATTTTGAACTGGATTCTAAGGTGAACCAGTAACGAGTGCAGTGAGGCCAAAACTGGTGTAATGTGCTCTCTTTTGCCTGTACTGGTTAAAAATGGGGCTGCTGCATTCTGGACCAGTTGTAGTCGTGCAATGGAGGTCTGACTGATACCAAACGAGTGAATTGCAGTAATCAAGCCTAGATGTAATGAATGCATGTATTACTGTCTCCAGGTTCTTCTTGGACAGTATGGGCTTCAGTTTAGACAGCCGCCATGTGCAGTCAGGTCAGTTTTTCAACATCAGATAAAAAAAGAACAGATCAAGTGTTTACATGCGCACCATTCGGGTTACGAATCGACGTGAACCACCCGTTTAGTTCTGATCACAAATTATTTCTGATCGCGCTGAATAAACAAAAGAATAATCTGAACAGGGTGTTTAAATGACGCGTTTTTATTCCAAACGGCTGTTTGATCTGATTACTTATGTCCATGTAAACATAGCTATAGTCAGGGCCCTAAGGTAAACAGATCAGATCCCGAACCTGTCGCTCATGGTTTCAGATTCACTACCATAACTCCACCTACTCTGTCATCATGTGACCAGAAGTGTAACCTTAATGACCAATGAGATACTGTCATTGACCCATCTTCCAAGATACACGTGCATTAATGAGGCTTCCTGTTTACATTAAACAAAGGTTAAACAATCTGACCAATAAAATTACTGGACAGGTCACAGTGGACCAATGAAACTTGGCTACTGTAAATGTAATGCACTCGCACTAAATTCTTCAGATTTTTCAGATCAGTTACTGTAGTTTACGCCTCGTGCACAGACTTTATTCATTAAGTAATAATGGAAAACACACACAGGATTTATTATGATGCAGCTTTCAAGTTAAAAGCGATCGATCTGGCTGTTGAAGACGGAAACAGAGCTGCCGCCTCCAAACTCTGCATCAATGAGTCGATGAAGCATTGGAGACGGCAGCATGAAGAACTGACTCAATGCAAAAAAAAACAACAAAAGCTTTCAGAGGGGGGAAAAACGTCAGATGGCCCGAACTTGTAAATATTCTTGAAGACTTGGTGAGCACACAGAGAGCAGATGGCCGAGGCGTTTCCACCGTGCAGATAAAACTGAAAGCCAACCAGATTCAACATTTTAATTTTGGGCCATCGTGGTGTCTGAGATTTATGAGATGAAAAGGACTTTCCATCAGGGCGAGGATGACTTTGTGCCAGCAGCTCCTTTCCGACTACGAGGAAAAACTTACAAACTTCAACACTTTTACTCAAGAAAAGACAGAAGAAAATTCCATGAGACCAGACGACATCATAAATATGGATGAAGTGGCTTTAACATTTGACCTGCCGCTCTCTAGGACCATTAACAAGAAAGGTGAGTCCTCCATCATGCTGAAAACAACCGGGCATAAGTGAACGCACTTCACGTGCATTTTGAGCTGCACAGCATTCAGACAAAAGCTTTCACCAATGGTGAATTTTAAGCAGATAACGATGCCGAAAGAAAGAAAGTTAACAAGAAAGGATGGATGATGGAAATCTTTATGAAGGATTGGAAGACAATGTAAACAAAGGCAAACGAGTGGGGGGATTCTTTGCACAGAAAAAAACATTGCCTGTTCTGGACAGCATGGGAGCTCACATTACGGATTCTGTGAAAGCAGCAATCAAGAAGACAAACTATATTCCAGCTGTGATTCTTGGGGGCACAAGGAAGTATCTGCAGCCACTCAACATCTGTGTGAACCGTGCATTAAAGCAGCGCTGCGAACTGAGTGGGAGACTTAGATGATGAGCGGCGATAAATCATTTGCTGGCCGCATGCGCAAAGCAACTTTTGCCCAAGTTTGCCAGTGGATCCTGAGAGCGTGGGGCAGTGTGCAAAAATCCACTATCATCAACAGATTTTGAAAGGCTGGACTGCTGCGAGATGATGTGGACAGGACGAGGGAGAGTGACGTCGACAGCGACAAGGAGCCGGTGTGCGATAACGGTTTTTGGAGCCTCTTCACTTCTGACACTGAAGAAGAGGACTTTCATGATTTCAGTGCACAGAGGACGAAGAAGAACAGAGCCATGAGTGACTCTGGTCGACTGTACTTTTTTATTTTTTAGCCGTGTTAAAGCTGTCCCTGACCTCGATAAGACTTCTGGGTAATATTTACCGGTATATAATTTTTTAATAATTTCGGTTACGTAGGTGTTTGGCACTGTTCTATCCAGTGATTATGTTTAGATAGTTATTGTTCATTTTGAAGGTACAATGGTTGTACCCATGAGTCAGACAGTGAAGTTTCATGAAGACTCGTGATGATCGTGCAGTCCGAGCGTGTGTTGAAATCAAGCTATATTCTGTGAAACGCCATCTGGTGGATGATTCTTGTACTACAACAAGAAAGCTGCACACTGTCAGAGCCAGGCACACATTCTGATAATGCACGGTGGATGCCCGCAGCTTAATAACCGGGGCGTCTTACTTATGTACAAAATTATGATTTATCTTATATTTAATATGTGCGGCTTAAACACAGTTGTGTTCTGTAGCCTGAGAATTACGGTAATAGTCTATTGTTGAAATATAATTATAGACTTCCTATGATTTTCATTATTTGTGACAGATTTTAGTTTTATTCTGCTTGTTTGACTTTGGACTTCTGGGAAGATGGCGCCGGTGGCTTGCCGTTCACCTCTGTCTGTTTTGATTGGGTTTTTTTTCTGTTTTTGTCATTTTTCTTCGGTGACATCAACTCACTGCTTGTTTATGATCGCCAACAACTTTTAAATATACAGTTATCTACTGCAAATCTCGCCTTGTTCGACCATTTTGATCGGGGCTCTGGAAACCCACCTCCTCTGCTTGTTGATGTCCTGGTTTACCTGAAGCACGCGGCGTTTCTGCCCGCCCGAAAACATCGCTCCAGGCGCCGTGGAAGACGTGCCGGCCGTCTCGTGAGGATTAAAGCGAGCATCAAGCTCTCTGCTGCTTCGTCATCTGCTGCTGACCATCAGATGTTAAACTGTCCGGATGTTTCACTGATCCACTCAACTCCAGCCTGCTACAGGTGGCCGGGCCTGGTACGCGCAGCGGGCGAGCGTGCGCCCGGCGGTTTTGATCGTCTCCAGTGGAACATAACCAACTCCGGACCTTCTGCTGCATCATCTGCTGGATATTCGCCTGTCCGGGTGCTTCGCTGATCCTGCTGGGTCCTGTCTGATCCCTGTAGTCGAGCCTGGCCCGTGCCGCAGGCACGCGCACAGCTGCGGAGTCTCTGGTTCTAGGAGGCGCGGTTCAAACTCCAAAAATCTGAAACAGCTGATCTGTGCTCCGTGCTCAGCTTTTCCTTCAGCTACTGGTTCTACAAAGATTGCTCTGCTGAATGTGAGGTCGCTGGCAAATAAAACCTTCATCTTAAACGACTTTTTCTGCTCCAATGGACTGGACTTCATGTTTGTTACAGTGACCTGGCTCATCCCTGGTGAGTTAAGTGTTTTTTCTGAACTTTTGCCGGTAGATTGTGCCTTTTTTAATGCTCCAAGGACTTCTGGTAGGGGTGGTGGATTATTAACAGTTTTTAAAAAGCTCTGGAACTGCAGACAGCTACAGGCTGTAGCTTTTCAGAGTTTTGAACTGCTGTACTTTGAGCTGAGCCGCTCCAACCCATCACTGTGCAGCCTGATCTACAGACCACCCTCGTACAATAAAAACTTCATAAGTGAATTTTCTGACTTTCTGACTGGAATACTGCTCAACTACGACAGGGTCTTGATGCTGGGGTACTTTAATGTGCACGTTTGCTGACTCTGACTTCAAGTTTGACAAACAAATCAACTCTGTTCTGCAGAAAAGCTTCTTCCAACTCAGACAGGTAGCTAAGCTCAAGCCAGTGTTGTCCAGACCCGACCTTGAGAAACTAGTCCATGCCTTTGTCACGACCCGATTGGACTATTGCAATGCACTGTGTGCTGGGATCAGCCAGGCCTCCATCTGCCGTCTTCAGCTCGTCCAGAATGCTGCTGCTCGGCTTTTAACCGGAACTCGTAGGTCTGAACATATCACTCCAGTTCTGTCCTCCCTTCACTGGCTCCCTGTTCGTACGAGGATAGTTTTTAAAATTCTTCTGTTGACCTTCAAATGCTTAAATGGCCTCACACCCCTTTACCTCTCTGAGCTTCTGGAACTTTACAATGTCAATGTCAATTTATTTATATAGCACATAAAAACAACAAAAGCTGACCAAAGTGCTTTACAGTTAAGACAGATTAAAATAAAAAAAAAGAGTAAAAATGCATCTAGTGCCACTCAAAAACATAAGTTAACAGTAAAAACAACACACGACAACAATAAAATCAGCTCAACTTGTTCTCAGACTCTGCGTGGATAAAATGCCAAGGAAGACAGATGAGTCTTGAGCAAAGATTTAAAAGTCTCAACAGTCTGAGCGGTCTTTAAATTCTCAGGTAAACTGTTCCACAGTTTTGGAGCAGCAACCGCAAAAGCTCGATCACCTCTGGATTTCAGTTTGGATCTGGGGACATCTGAGAGGAACTGGTTGGTAGACCGGAGTGCTCTTACTGGAGTGTAAATGTTAATGAGATCACATAAATATGACGGGGCCAGATCTTTTAAGACTTTAAAAACAAGCAATAAAATCTTAAAATCAATTCGGAAGTGGACAGGAAGCCAGTGGAGAGAAGCCAGGACAGGGTTATGTGTTCATGTTTTTAGTTGCTGTTAAAAGACGAGCTGCTGCGTTCTGGACACATTGTAAACGATGCAAAGATGATTTGTCTAAACCAACATACAATGAATTACAATAGTCCAAACGAGATGTGATAAAAGCGTGAATCACCTTTTCAAGGTCTCTGAAAGGGAGACAAGACTTCACCTTGGCAATGAGTCTTAGCTGGAAGAAACTGGATTTCACAACTGTATTTATCTGTTTATCAAATTTAAAAGCACTGTCAAAAATAACTCCCAGATTCCTGACATTGGAGTTGCTGTATGAAGCCAAGGGGCCAAGCACATTAAGGGTATTACATTTACCAAAGCTGATGACTTCCGTTTTATTTTCATTTAGATTCAGAAAATTTAGTTTTAACCAGACTTTAATGTCATTTAGACAGTTCAAGAGTGGATCCAGTGAAGTGACCCTGTCTGACTCAATCGGAAGATATAACTGAGTATCATCAGCAAAGCAGTGAAAAGGGATGTTGTGTTTTTTTAAAATGGACCCCAAAGGCAACATGTAAAGATTAAAAAGCAATGGACCTAAAATAGACCCTTGAGGGACCCCACAGATCAGAGGAGCTGGAGATGAAGAGCATTTCCCTAAATGAACAGAAAAACTCCTGTCAGTCAGGTAGGATCTAAACCAGGATAGAACTGTGCCTTTGATACCAACCACCTGCTCCAGTCGTGACAACAAGATGTTGTGGTCCACAGTATCAAAGGCAGCAGAAAGGTCTAAAAGCACTAAAACAGCAGAGCTTCCTGCATCAACAGTTAAAAGAAGGTCATTAAAAACTCTTAAAAGGGCTGTCTCTGTGCTGTGGCCTGATTTAAAACCTGACTGGAATTTTTCACCAATGCTGTTGGCAGTTAAAAACCTCTTAAGTTGATTAAAAACAACTTTCTCCAAAATTACGTTCCCTCTCGGGCCCTGAGATCATCCGATCAGCTGCTTTTGGCTGTTCCTAAAACAAGACTGAAGCTCAGAGGAGATCGGACTTTTTCAGTCATGGGCCCCAAACTCTGGAACAACCTGCCCCCC